GGGGGGGGAACCTTCCAAGAAAAAGGAGGGCCTGACCAAAGGAAAAACCAACTGCCTTCTCATCGCTCTCGACCCAGGGCGACCCTCCGGATGAGGCATCTCCAAGACCGCCACTGCTCTGCCCAAGTCCTGCAAACTCCTACTCTTGATTGGTTCAGAGGAGGTTGGCCATGGCCTTCCCCCAGGGCTGAGAGAGTGTGACTTGCCCAAGGTCACCCAGGGAATTGAACTCTTGTCTCTAAAGTCACAGTCCAGCACTCTAACCACTATGCCATGCTGGCTCACTCACTTTCCATTCTTCTTGGGGTTGCGGTGTGAGAAAGAATGTTCCTGAGCATGTTTGATACAAATGTGGGATCTAGAGCCGATGTTAACTTTTTTAAAAATCCAAAGTGCACAGTTTGGGAATCATTGATAAGGCAGACACCCTTCCGGGGGACATAATGGTCACCAAAAAACCACTTTCAAAGTAAGTATTCTCAACAAAGCCTCCATAATTGGCTCAAATGGAGACACTGTCAATCTGTTCAGTACCAGATTCAAGTTGGAAACCTGTGCAAAGTTGGAGGTACCTTTCAAGTTGCACCCCATAAGACTCTTTTAATGTGAGGATGTGAAGACAGTACATTACCTTGCCTTTTGGTTTCATTGTTATGCCTAAAGCTGCCACTTGCCATTTTAAGGTATTTTGCCACAGACCTGCAGAAAAATTTCTCCTGACTGAATCTCATTAATGTCTGTTCTGTTATCTGATTTACACCAATTCATAAAAACTCTTCCATGTTCTGCTACAATTGTCTGTGCATGCATCTGAGAAAGTAGGCTCAAGTCTACGAAAGCTCATGCTCCCACCTTCTTTCTTTCAGTTGGGGCCTTTGCAGACTGCTAGAAATAATGCAAATTGAGTCCACTTTAAGAGTTAGGGTTAGTGCTAAGGAATCATGGGAATTGTATTTTTTTCTGAGACATTGAGCCTTCTCTGTCAAAGAGCTCTGGTGTCACAGTAAACTACAGTTCCCATGATTCCCTAGCACTGAGTCAGGGCAGTTAAAGTGGACTCAATTTACACTATTTCTGGCAGTCTGCAAAGGCTGTTAGTCTCCAATGTGCTGCAAGATCCCCTTGCATAGGCAGCCTCAAAGTAGATGACTGTAGCCTCTGCATTATGTTTCTCTCTGTGTTTAAATAAAACAAATGGAACCTCTCTCATCTGCCTTTAAATAGGGCTGAAAGACAACTAAGGGCAGCATGGGGGGCATTGCAGATAGCAGCGTTTACATGTGCAGCCTCTTCCTGGTGGTCCTGGTGGGCCGGCTGTCCCAATCCTCGCCTTCCTTTGTGCAAGTCTTCGCACAGTTGCACGGCCGGTAATTTCTTTTGCAAGTTGTGCTGGTTGCCCTTGTTGTTATTAGCTGTCCTTGAGTCAACCTTGACTGATGATGACTCCATGGATGAGACATCTCCAAGACCCTCAGTTCTTCACTGCTTTGCTTAGAGCTTGTAGATTGCAGACCATGACTTCCCTAACTGAGTCTAGCCATTTGACATGCGGTCTTCCTTTCTTTACTACCTTCTACCTTTCCTAGCATTATTGTATTTTCTAATGATTCATGTCTTCTTATGATGTGGCCAAAGCACAACAGGCTCAGTTTTGTCATCTTGACTTCCAGGGAAACTTCAGGCTTGATCTGGTCAGGACCCATTGCTTTGTCTTTTTGGCTGTCTGTTGTATTCTCAGCACTCTTCTCTAGCACCACATCTTGAATGAGTTGATTTTTATCCAGCCTGCCCTCCTATCTTCACTTTCTCTTTTTATCCATGGGATGATACTGATCCCCTGCCCTCTGGATGGAGAAGTACTGCAGGAGAAGCCAGTGAGCTTTCACAAATATCCTCTCAATCACCTTGAGATGTTCTGTGATGCAGATGGAGTGGCGGCCAAGGGGGGATTGCATGATTGAGGTTGCATCTGCACTGCAGATATAATCCAATCTGATACCATTTTAACTGCCATGGCTCATTGCTATGGATGAGAATTGTTGTTTTGTGAAACATTTAGCCTTCTCTGTCAGAGAGCTCTGGTATCACAACAAACTATAATTTCCAGAATTCCATAGCATTGAGACCTGGCAGTTGAACTGGTGTCAAACTACATTATTTATGCAGTGCACTTGCAGCTTGAGAGTTAGCTTGATCCTAAACTAATCATGGGGAGGGAGGGAATCTATTTCATGTGTCTCTTACTCCTGTTCTCCTGCATATGTCATGGAAAGACACACTGAAGTCTCAACATTAGAGTTCTGTATATGTTTCCTATGGAAGTGAGTCCTTCCAGAAGCCTTAGGAACTGTGCATTGCATTGCAGCCAAAAGGAGAGACAGCCTCATTACCTTGGGGAAAAATACTTTTTTGGGACTGTGAATCCCAGAATACTTCAGTCCACAGGGCTAGTTATCAAATTGCTTTTGTCACTTGTGTTCAGCGTATCAGAATATCCCCCCAGGAACAATCAGAGTGTTTTGTAAAGACTCAAGAGAAAGTCAGAGTCAAGTCTGCTAGCTTGGTTGTTGTGAGGAAGGGAAATGATATCGCCAAGTAATCTTGACAGAATTTTCTTTATGAATGTGTTGGGGTGGGAACTTGTTTTTTAATTGCTTTTAAATTTTTATTGTAGAGCTTTCAACTGATTTTATCTGTGGGTTGCCCTGGGTCCCCTTCCAGGAGAAAGGCAGCATATAAATGAAATAAATAAACTTGAACTATATGTGCACTACACAGATATAGCAGGTCAGTGCCACTTTACTTGCCATAGTTCAGTTTCCAGAGTCCCATGATGTGTAGTTTGATTGTAGGGCTTGGATTTTCTGCTGGGGACATCTAGTTTGCTCCTCTGAACTACAGCAGAGAATTTTGTACCTCACAAAACTCACATGGAATCATGGCAATTAAAGTGATATCCACGTGCTATAAATGTGCAGTTCAAAGACAACCAAATTTGCCTTTCCTAACCAATTCCACTTTTGTTAATACATGTAGACTGGACCTGTAGTTTTCTTGCGCTTTGCTAATAATATATCAAAAACAAAAGACAGAGTATTATCATGGCTCTTGTGCAAGGATGGCCTCCCAATTCACAAACTTTTATAAATGTTGACAGAGAGGTAGATACCGCATTTTCCGGCGTATAAGACGACCTGGCATATAAGACGACCCCCCCCCCATTTTTCCAGTCAAAATATAGAGTTTTAGCACCTCTATCCTCCTTATCCTTATACCCGGCATATAAGACGACCCCCCCACTTTAACCACAGATTTTGCAGGTTAAAAAGTAGTCTTATACGCAGGAAAATAAGGTACATAGATCTCATAAAAGTGCTAAGTACAAAAAATGAGCATATCCATTTTTCTCTTCACAGAGCCAAACCAGGTCTGGTGTTAAATGCAGCATGGAAGAAAGCATGAAAGCCCCCTCCTTGTATGCCACAGTCTCAGTCTAAATACTATCTCCCCCATAAACATAAAATACACAGATATAAAGATCTTGGTGCATTTATGGCACCTCCATTTTAGTCCATTCTCTCTCTCCCATGTACACCCAAATATCTTTCCTGTCTATGCATACAAGAGAAAACCTTGAAAAGATATATCCCAAATTTGTAGAAGGAGGCAAAATCCAAAGATATAAAAATAACCAACTACTTTTTTTAAAAAAGGTCTGGTGTTTAGCTCAATGTTGTGCCATGCATGGGCGGATAAATGTCTAATTTTGTATTCTGATAAGTTCTACATTTTTTTAAAAAAAAAACACCTACTCAGTGGGTAGATATTCAGCAAGTGAAGCTTTTCCTGGCATGGAAAATAGGGGAACTGTCATCTAGCTGCTAAAGGCAGAGGAATCTTTCCAAAGAAAAATGGTTGTTTTATTTTTAAAAATCATTTTTGGTGTGTGTTTTTTGCTCCTTGTCTATCTTGTTTCATATTACAAAACACAGTGATGGCATTAAACAGAGCTACTACTGATTTCCAGTATTGTTACATCCATTTCACATATAACAACAACAGTTTCAGTTTCCAGTAAATTGATTGTTCCATTTTTCTTAAGGTGGCCTTATGACTTGCTGTGACCTTAGTTTGCCTTTTGTTTGTTAAGAAAGCACTGCTTGTAAGAAGGTTACTAAGGCTCGGCCCTGAGATTATGATACATGTTCTAAATATAATTATCTGGGGAGGGGAGTTGTTTTGCTGATTTGATTCCCTCCTCTTTGAGTACATTTATTTGAGGAGGGGGGATACATTGCCTATTGCTCCCAATTGCACTCTTAAAGCAGATGCTTTTTTAAAAGTCCTGTTCCAAAAATGTAGCTTGCGTCTGTGCAGTCCAATTCAGTGAATGTTTATAAGCTGAAAATAAGTGCCACTGAGTTCAATTGGGAAACTGAAGATTCACTTGGAAATCAGCGTCATAAGTTTATCCCATGTAAGTAGGTGTGTGTTATAGTTCAGACCTCAGCTATAGCTCTAGGCATACTTAACTTGGAGATTAGATTGACGCCTGCTTCCAGGGGTCAATCTACACTATAGAAATAATGCAGCTTGACACCACTTTAAGTGCTGCAGCTCCATCCTATGGAATCCTGGGATTTTTAGTTTTACAAGCTCTTTAGTCTTTTCTGCCAAAGAGTGCTGGCACTTCACAAAATCACAAATCCCAGGATTCTGTAGCCATGGCAATTAAAATGGCATCAAAATGTATTATTTCCTAGTGTAGATGCACTTCTAAGTGTTCAGAATGGAGTCATTTGGTTTTACTTTTTGACTGCAACAACTCCAGTCATCTTCAAGCCATTAATGCTGTTGTCTGAGAAAGCAACTTTTCTAAGATCTGGTTATTTAACTCTAAATAAAGAATTGTGCATGTATTTGTAATTCTATAGAAACCAAATAGACAACTGTTTGCAATATCAGGCTCTTACCTTTTTTAACTGTGGATTTGGAAGGGCCAACAAGCTGTGACTTAAATATGCCCTTTAGATGTGAATAGCTTCCTTTGGTGTGCACAGGTGTGGTTTTGGGGTTCTGTTTTGCTTTGTTCTTTTTTGTTTGTTTGGGATTTTTAAAAATAAATAACAGGTGGAGGAGGAGCTAGTTGTGTTGGAAACAGTGCATTATGAAAGTGGCCTTAACCCTTTGTCTTCACTGTCATCTGTATCAGATTCCAGTTCCACTAGTAAGTAATGGAACAAAACCACATTGTCTCCCACCCATTCTGCCAGGTATAGCT